TGTAAGTTGACCTATAAAAGGAGGAAGCCAAAAACTCGAAATGTGAAGAACAGACTTAAAAATGTAAAAAAAGAGCGTTCATAGGCAAATAAGCAAACAGAAAACATACTGCTGCTGTACACTTCAGAGTGAGAATCATCAGAGTCTGAAGAAATACCATCCTCTTCCATGATTTCTTCACTGCTCAATTTGCTTATGTGATGGTCTGAAATCTCCTGCTCACTTTCATCAGAAAAACTGGATAAAACCTTGTTAGGATTGTCCCCTAACAGACTCTGCCATGCCTCCATGACTGGAATCCATGCAGATTCCATTTTTAAAAGGATAGTATTGCATGTGCAATTTTTTTCTTTTGCGTAAAAAGTGATCAAAGTTGGCTGTAAACAGGGAGAAATATGGCTTCAAATGAAGAAACGTGACTGGATAAACCATAATAATCTATGAACTCAAAACAATACTATGTGGGGGTCCTGAGATTTGTAATATGGATAGGGTCAGATGAATTTGTACATTTGCCAGTGAAAGGGTTAATACAGTTTATGGTATTCATCAGTTTCAACTAAAGGTATAAAAATCGATTGCGAGCCTTGTGTAGCAGGGAATCTTCTCTCTAGTACATTCTAAATCTCAGAGACTTTACTTTCGTCAGAGTGAGAATGTTTACAAAGACCTCCATTTTGTCTCTTGTGATTGGGGTCCTGGCTTGTGTTTGGTGGGATCAGATCACACTGAATAATCATGGAACTTCTTGGGTTGTCTTACTATCAAATATCAAAATATTGTCTGAAGGCAATAGGTCAAAATAAAAATTGGCTAAATTTTGGACTTCAATCAATCACTAGTAGGGCCCCAGTTTGTCTCTGAAATGTCTTCCTTACTTTCATTGTCAAAATCTTTGCCTTACCCATCATGTAGCACACTTTTTGAAACCTTCTCACAAGCAAATTAACTCATTGCCATTTTCAAATTGCCACTGAAATACAAATTTGAACATGATTGCCTTGAAGATTGTTTCTTCATATAGGAACTACGTCCAAAACCACAAACCACATGTAGTGGTTTGAGTTTGTAGCAGAGGCTAAGGAGGAGTCAACATTCGCGAGTATCTGCAATTGAAAAGACTCTAAGGGCTTTGTGAATTTCTCCCAAGTTGATACATGTAGGCCCTAGATTGTGTTTTTCTTGTGCATCTCTTGAATCCTCTTTGCAAATTCTCCCTAGAATGTCAACTTTTACT